CAGGACCCAGGGATCATGACCAGAGCTGAAGGCAGATGCTTAACTGACTGAGACACCCAGGTGACCCAACTCAAGATATTTTGAAGGTAAAATAAATAGGAATAGATAGGTGAATGTGTGAGGAGAGGGTACAAGAATTGGGAGAGACAAAGGTGATTCTCAGGCTTTCATATGCCTGGAGAATATTGTGGAGGTGAGAGTAAAGTGATGTATTCAATGTCCTATCAGGTTCATTTCAGCCTAGGGTTGTGTTTTTTAAATTTTCCTTCTTCCTAGCCTAATTGTCTCTTAAAAGTACAAAGGAAAAAAACAAGTAAAAAATGTTTGAATGTTTCTTTTTTTTAAAAAATATATTTTATTTATTTATTCATGAGAGACACAGAGAGAGAGAGAGGCAGAGACACAGGCAGAGGAAGAAGCAGGCTCCATGCAGGGAGCCTGATGTAGGACTCGATCCCGGGTCTCCAGGATTATGCCCTGGGCCAAAGGTGGGCGCCAAACCACTGAGCCACCCAAGGATCCCCCACAATGTTTATTTCTTTATACTGAGGTATACTTGCATAAACTGCATACTTCAATGTGCAGCTTGATGAATTTTACATATGTATATAATAATCATCAGCAAGTACTAGTATAATCATCACCAAGATCAAGATATAGAAATTTCTGGGTACCTGGCTGGCTCAATGGGTGGAACATGAAACTCTTGATCTCTGGGTTGTAGGTTCAATCCCCACATTGGGTGTAGAGATTACTTAAAAATAAAATCTGTAAAGGGGCAAGCACCTGGTTGGCTCACTCTTTTTTTTTTTTTTTTTGGTTAGCTCACTCTTAAGGAGCATGCAACTCTTGATCTCAGGGTGGTGAGTTTAGTATATGTGCTGCCGAAATGAGCACAAGGGTGGTGAGTTTGAGCCCCATCTTGGGTATAGAAATTACTAAAAAAAATTTTTTTTATTCTTTAAATACACACACACACACACACACACACACACATGGACATATGTAGAAATGTCTTGCACACCAGGGGTGCTTGCAGGGCTCAGTCTGTTAAACATCTGCCTTTGGCTTGGGTCATGATCCTGGGGTCCTGGGATTGAGCCCTGAGTTGTGCCAGGCTTCCTGCTAAGTGGGGAGTCTGCTGCTCTCTCTGCCCTTCCCCCTACTCGTTTTCTCTCTCTCTCTCTCAAATAAATAAATAAAATATTTTAAAAAGAAAACGAAATTTTCTGAACACCAGAAGCCTCCATTATTCTCCTAGTTAGTAACCAGTTAGCAAACCAGTTAGTTAAATGACTTCTTTATTATTTTTTTTAAGATTTTATTTATTTGACAGAGAGAGACAGAGCACAAGCAGGGTGAGCAGCAGAGGGAAAGGGAGAAGCAGGCTTCCCACCGAGCAGGGAACCTGATGTGGGGCTTGATCCCAGGACCCTGAGATCATGACTTGAGAGGCAGATGCTTAACCGACTGAGCCACTCAGGCACCCCAATACAGTGACTTCTATTACTATGATATTGGGATATAAGATACGTATTTGGTCTTTGTCCTGGTTCTTTTTTTTTTTTTAATTAATTTATTTATTTATGATAGTCACAGAGAGAGAGAGAGGCAGAGACACAGGCAGAGGGAGAAGCAGGCTCCATGTACCGGGAGCCCGACGTGGGATTCGATCCCGGGTCTCCAGGATCGCGCCCTGGGCCAAAGGCAGGCGCTAAACCGCTGCGCCACCCAGGGATCCCGTCTTTGTCCTGGTTCTTGATACAAAAGCTCCTAAGACTTATACTTTTCTAAGGGATAATGGTGAGAAGCAATCTTTTATTATTTATGAGTAATTCTCAACCAAACCTGAGTTTGTTAATGGAGTGACTCAAGATGGTTCCTTAGATACCTTCAGGATGGTTCCTTAGATATAAGAGAAACCAACCATGTGATTCCAGGTTTGGAACTTTCAGCCTTAATTTCTCAACCTCTGGGAAAGGAAAAAAGGATGGGGATTGAATGAATTACCAAAGGTTAATGAATTTCTTTTAACTTTAAAAACATTTTGAGAGAGAGAGCATGAGCAGGAGGGATTGATAGAAGGGGGAGGAAGAAGCAGATTCCAGAGCAGGGAGAGTGACTAGAGCAGGACCCCAGGACCATGACCCAAGCTGAAGGCAGACACCCAGCTGACTAAGCCACCCAGGCGCCCCAAAGAATAATGATTTAATGAATCATGCCTTCATAATGTAACCTCCATGTAAAACCTAAACTATGGGGTTTAGAGAACTTCCAAGTTGTTGAATATATCCACATGCTATGAGGGTAGTGTACCCCAAACTCCATAGGGAAAGAATCTTCTGTGTTCAGGACCCTTCCAGACCTCACTCTTCATCTGGCTGCTCATTTGTATCTTTTATAATAGCCTTTATAATAAACTGTTGATAGTATTTATTTTCCTGAGTCCTGTGAGTCATTATAGCAAATTATCAAATCTAATGAAGTCATCATGGGAACTGTCAATTTATCTACTATTGATTGACATTTTTTAATAGATTTTATTTATTTATTTGAGAGAGAGAGAACGAGCAGTGGAGAAAGGCAGAGGCAGAGGGATAAAGAGAGAGGCGGACTCCCTACTGAGCAGGGAGCCCAACGTGGGGCTCGATCCCAGGACCCAAAGATCATGACCTGAGGCAAAGGCAGATGTTTAACCAACTGAGTCACCCAGGTGTCCCTATTGATTGACATTTTAACTAGTACCCATTTACAGCTGCTATGAATAAAACTGATTATTCTTTTGCCTTTTGGTGAACATAAACACTCATTTCTGTTGTTATAATCAGAAGTAGAAGTTTTGGATCATAAAGTACACATACTCAGCTATAGTAGGTACTGTCATAGATTTTTCCAAATTGTACTAATTTACATGCTCACTAGTAATGTATGAAAGTTCCAGTCATTCTGCCTCCTTACCAATCCTTGGTATCATCAACAGGTTTGGGGGTTTTATTTTTGGTATCACCGGTCTTCTTTTTTTTTAATATATTATTTATTTATTTATTAGAGAGAGAGCAAGCATGAGTGGGAGGGGCAGAGGGAGAGAGAATCTCAAGCAGACTCCACACTGAGCGAGGAGCCCAACATGGGGCTGATCCTACAACCCAGAGATCATGACCTGAGCTGAAGTCAAGAGTTGGACACTCAACCAACTGAGCCACCCTTGTACCCCCACACAATTGTTCTTAAAAGAGTGATGATACTGTGATACCTGGGTGCGTGAGTAGTAGGTTAAGTGTCTGATTCTTGCTTTCCCCTCAGGTAGAGATCTCAGGGTAGTGAGATCAAGCCCCAGGTTGGGCTCAGTGGGAAGTCTGCCTGAGATTCTCTCTCTTCCTCTCTGTTTGCCCCTCCCCACCTGCATGCACATGCATGTGCTCTCTCTCAAATAAATAAATACATGTTAATAAAATAAATAAAGGCGGGGAGCCTGGGTGGCTCAGCGGTTTGGCGCCGCCTTCAGCTCAGGGCATGGTCCTGGAGACCCGGGGTCGAGTCCCGCATCGGGCTCCCTGCATGGAGCCTGTTCCTCCCTCTGCCTGTGTCTCTGCCTCTCTCTCTGTGTCTCTCATGAATAAATAAATAAAATCTAAAAAAAATAAAATAAATAAAATAAAATAAAATAAAATAAAATAAATAAAGGCAATTGTGGATTTTTTTTTTTATTTTTAAACTTCCAGGTGAATCTTCATTCCACAGAAATTATAAGCTCTGTTGGGAAGTGCATTTGGGGCTAGTTCCTGGGATGCCAAGATAAAGTGTACTAACCTTGAGGATGAGGCTGCAGCCTCTGACTGGGCAATACCATGTGCAGCCTGGCATGAGCCTAGAGATTCTCAAAGGAATTCCAGATTCTTGCCCAATGGGCTCCTGAGTCATCAAGGGCATTGTGAGGCAAGACGGAACTGGAACAATAGGCTTAAAAAGGAAACTGAACCACTTCTGACCCATTCACTCTGTGCATGTCTCTGAAGGGATAGGCCTGATAAAGTTAAGATGGGGCTGCCTTTCCCAAGGTGGCATTAGAAATTAGTGGCAGTGCCCACTTGGGATGGCAGAGGACCCTGTCTCAATCTGGTCTTTGTTTTGGTGTGGAAAACAAATCCAAATCTTGTAGGCAGAGCTTCGGATGGGTCAACAGAGCTCCCTGGAGGTATGAGGCCTGAAGCAACCATCAGGTAACAGGGCACTAGAGCCTGAGGACAGTCAACCCCAAGCAAGAGCATCCTGCTTCCTCAAAGAGTTTCTGTGCCTGAGGAAAGTGGAAGCCAGCACAAATTCCTACAGGATCTTCTGAAAATGGAGGCAAGGGTGATCCTGAAGAAGCCCCGTTATCTAACTGACCGACAAGCAACATCCACTCTACTCTCTTCTCTGTGGTTCAGAGTTTCACCCCATCTGCCCTCATGGAGATGCAACCAGGGTCCCCAGGGAGAGGCAGGCAGGGGCAGTCCCCTGGTCCTGTCCTCAATTTAGGACTGCATGGGAGACATACAAAACATAACTTAAGGCATGAGACCTATTTCATAAAGCACAAAAGGCAGTGTGGCCGGTAGGTCATGAGAATCTGAAGGTCGTAGCTGAGGGAAAGCTCACTTGAGGGGCTGTTATGGTTAGGGCAGGAGAGATGGTTAGGCGGGGGAGGTGGCCAGCAGGGAGGCATGACTGCGTGGAGAATGGAGCCCGTGGGCTCCTCAGGGATGGGAAGGAGGCGGCCAGAGGCCTGGGGAGCATCCTGGGCTGGTAATGCCAGGCAGGGCAGAAACGCTGCGGAGGGCAAGTCTGGCCAGGCGGGCGTGGACCCTAAGCCGGACTCCACCTTGCGAGGGTGGAGGAAGGAGGTCCTGCCTCCTGGCATAGAGTACAGCCCACGGTGTCAGCGCTCCGTTTCTGATAGGTTCGGGGAAAGTGCGGCGCTCAGTAAGAGATAACCAGTGGCAGCTGCCGGGTAAAGGCGTGTGCCGGGAGGAATTCCTAACCGGAGCGAGGATAGCCGTCCTCACTTCCGGGTGCCTGCGGACGGGCAGGCGGGGATCCGAGGTCCACGGCAGAACGCAGATTCCTTCGACCCCAGGTCTTCCACCTCAGCGGCCATCTGACGACCGTTGGAAATGCGCGGGCGGCAGCCAAACAACTGCCGCGAACTCTCCACTTGCAGGCCCTAAACCCCACCCCTGAAGGCCCGGGCAGCGTCGCCGTGGCGACATGCTGCGAAGTGCGGCTGCGCAAGGGTGACGGAGCGCGGGCGAAGGGGAGGGGGTGTTTTGGTTCTCGCCGCTCGCCGTCCTTTCAGACTCAATTCGTCTGAGAGCTGCTCGTTTCTTCCTCCCCAGCCCTTTCCCTTTCCCGACCCCTGTCCTCCCTCCCTCCTTTCTCTCTGCTTGCCTCCCCGGGTCCGGGCCATTTTCCGGGCCAGGCGCACAAAAGTGCGCGGCCCCGGGGCCCAGTATATGACCCGCCGTCTTGCTAACCCTAGCTACCCCCGCCCCATGTGGCTGCGGGGCCGCTGCGGCGCTGCCCACTATGGCCCGGAAAGCAGTTAGCAGGAAGCGGAAAGCGCCCGCCTCGCCAGGAGCTGGGAGCGACGCTCAGTGCCCGCAGGTGAGGGCTGAGAGGCCTGGACCCGGGTTCTACCGCCGAGGCACCTAGAGCGGGGGAGGGTTCTAAGATCAGGAAGCCGGAACCCGGGGACCAAGGTTTGTAGTCAGAGATGGGGCAGGAGTGGGGCCCCAGCCTGTAGGGTCAGGGCCGGGCCCTCAGGGATTCAGAGAAGAGCAGAAAGGCCAGAGCAATCAGGAGCTAAAGGGAAACTTGGAACAGGGCCCATTCCAGGGAAGCCCTGCAGCCGGTCGTGGGGCCTGAGAAGAAGCTACAATCTTGTCTTTGGCGGAAGGGAAACCAACGTCGATGGGAATCGGGAACAAAACCTCCCAGAAGATACTGGGAGACAGTAAAGTCCCCCCTTCCGGGACCTCGGGAAGCGGAGACGATTGCGTGCTTTATATGGGAAATAGGTTTCCCTGACCTGGGCTTTTTGCCTCTTGGATCGGTATAAAAAACAGCAGTTCTCAGGTATCATCCCTATAACGCCCTTGTTGAACGCGTTTCATACTCTTGATTTCCCGTGCCTCCTCCTACTCCCTTAGTGTTTGATTTTTCGCGATTCTTCAACGGCCTGGAGCGCGGGCCTGGTGACAGGGGGGTGGCCCTGATTGCGTGTCCCTGGAAGGCGTGGGACCCCAGTCTGCCCCCAGCTGCACTCTCCATGCGCCACGGGGAGTACAGACTGAGAGGGGAGACGGTGCGTGGGTAGAGATGCAGCTCAGGTGTCGGTATAGTGATTATTTGGTCCTTCGTTCCCTTCCTTATCAAGGATAGCTTTAGGGACTCTGAATCCTTCGCTCCTAACAGGCCTGGTAAACCTTTTGACCTCTTTTCTGCTTCCTTTCCCTTGTCTTTCAGTCCTTGTTTCTCATACGTAGGTTTGACTGAGTAGCATCTTCTCAGTGTTGGAAGAGTTAAACTGGACTTTTCTGTATTGAGATTCCTGTTCTGTTGTATGTCAATCCTGCGGTATGAATTCTTGGTGATTTCTCTGATACAGGAGGATCCCTTGTTCTGAACAAAGGTGGCCAAAGCCCTAATTTCTAATATTGCTTTCCACAGTTTGGCTGGGATCATTCACTTCACAAAAGGAAAAGACTCCCCCCAGTGAAGAGATCCTTAGTGTACTACTTGAAGAACCGAGAAGTCAGGCTTCAGAATGAAACCAACTATTCTCGAGTGCTGCATGGCTATGCAGCACAGCAACTTCCCAGTCTCCTGAAGGAAAGAGAGTTTCACCTTGGGACCCTTAATAAAGTGTTTGCATCTCAGTGGCTGAATCATAGGCAAGTGGTGTGTGGCACAAAATGCAACACGGTAAGTGTCTAGGGGGTAAATGAACCTTATTCTAGGACCTGGATACATTTTGGCTCCACATGCTCTAAAATCTTTCACTGCTCATTTTCCCCATTGGTTTCTTTTGGGAGGAGATTGACTCACTCTGCTTTCCATCCCCTTCCTATCTGCTGATAACTTCTTCCTCTCTTTATGTCCCTTTTCCCATTTCCTCATTTCTTTCTTGATAAATCTTCAGAGGAGTCTATTTCTTTAGGCCTCTTGCCATACAGCTGTTACACTGATTTTAGAGTTTCTTTAGCCTCACTTTTTTATGTTGCTTTAAGTCAAGGACCTCAGAGGAAAGATTTAGGAAGGAATGATGCTCAGGAAACATAACAGTGGGAATCTAGTTCTTATCTGCTAGGCTAAGGGCACATATAAAAATATTTAAAATGAGGGGATCCCTGGGTGGCTCAGCGGTTCAGCGCCTGCCTTTGGCCCAGCGCGTGATCCTGGAGTCCCGGGATCGAGTCCTACATCGGGTTCCCTGCATGGAGACTGCTTCTCCCTCGGCCTGTGTCTCTGTCTCTCTGTCTATCATGAATAAATAAATAAAATCTTTTAAAAAAATATTTAAAATTACATTTGGCGGGTACCTGGGTGGCTCAGTTGGTTAAGCATCCGACTCTCGGTTTCAGCTCAGATCATGATCAGGGTCGTGAGATGGAGCCCTGTGTTGGGTTCCATGATCTGCACAGAGTCTATATGAGATTCTCTTCTGCTCTGCCTGCTCATGCTCTTGCACTCTCTCTCTAAAATAAATCTTTAAAAATTAAATAAATAAATAAATAAAGTTGCACTTGGCAAAATCACCCTCCCCGAACATTTTTGAGTAGAATCTAAAGATATATTTCCTTTAAGAAAGGTCACAAAAGGTATGTTTGGTGGTTTCAGGTTGCGAATGTTTGTTCTTTGCAAAGTAGCCTCCTGAAAAGGATTCAAGAAAGAAAAAATAAGTATTACATGAAGAGGGGAGTGTTTTTATGCAGAATAACTTAGAAAACAGTTATAAGTGAATGAAGTGAAAAATTTATCAGTAAGCTATATAATCACAATTATAGGAATAGATAAAATACATCAATCCATGATTGGATATTGCAGATATAATGGGACAGAAGAACACAAGTATCATGATGTCAGAGGAATGGTGAGAGGCAGGGCCTGGAGGTGGGAAATGATTCCTGATGAAGCATGAGAAAGGATGGAATGTAGGCCCAGCTGCTCTCTGTTTTACCTTACCCTGGGTGAATACAGGAGTAATGTCATGATGGCTGGGTAAATTCACCTTAAACAGAAACACATCTTGGATTAGTTGAAAGAGAGAAGGTTGGTCTAGATGAAGAGTGTCTTAATTACTAGAGGTGTTTATTTTTTAAGATTTTATTTATTTATTCAACAGAGAGCACAGATAGAGGGAGTAGGAGGGAGAGGGAGAAGCAGGCTTCTCTGCTGAGCAGGGAGCCCAATGCTGGGTGTGATCTCAGGATCCTGGGATCATGACCTGAGCCCAAGGCAGAGCTTAACCAACTGAGCCACTCAGGTGCCCCAAAGTGTTTGTTTATAAAGGACCTAGGCAAAGATTTAAACATGAGTTTTAAGGAAGGAAATAATAATCATGGTAGTTGAGGCCCAGCTCTCATTTCCTCTTGTGTTGAAGGTTGCTGCTTATACAGAAGCCTTTCAAAACTAAATAGTGGTGGCAAGCTCCTACAAAACTTCCTTTTCCTATTCTCTAAGGCCACTCATGGTTTAAGGGAATAATCATCGTCACTTGGAGTAGAAAGTCTCCCATTTGGAGGAATCCATTCCACTCTCTGTATATACCTTTATTGTATTTTGCCCAGCAAATGTTGAATTATAAACTAAGTTAAACATAGTCTCCTTCTTAAATTTATTGACCCTATTTTGGAGGTTTGTATAATGTTAAGTAATAATTTACTGTTAATATCTATCTCTGTTTCCTCATAACCTAGTGTGTTTAATTAAGTAAGGACCTGTTTTTATAATTTGTGTTATCTGCTTAGCTTCCAGAACCAAAGCAGGGAACCAGAAACTCAGCTCTTTGAACTTGATGACATTTGACATTGATTCCCTTATCTGTGCCTTTGTTTTCCCATCTGTAACATGGGAGTGGTTAATATCCAGTGCTGAGAAGGTGGCTGTGCACATCTTGGAAAATACTTGAAGTTATCTTCCTTATGCAAAAGTAGTAGTGGTGATAATGAATATAAAACTTTCTCTAATGCTCTTTGCATTCCCTGGGACTTCCCTCAGTTGAAAGAATGGAAAATTAAACAATTAGAATTATCTTTGGATAATATGTGAAGATTTGGGGGGGAAGAAGAGTTTGTGCTGGATTCTCAATAATAAATTAAGTTTTTATGTGTGGAAATTTTGTTGTCAATGAGGCAGTTTTACTGTATTAAGTACGAAAAGTATACTACAACCATTTTATCCTGAAATAGCCTGTTAATATACTTGCAGGTTAGAAACTGTTTTTGTCTTGGGTGCTGTTGGTAATCATTAGCATTCAACTGAATGTACCTGCTAAAAAAGGCAGGTCATTTCCCAGTTAACTAACTTGCAATAGTTTTGAAACCTCTGCTGAGGTATTAGAAAATCCTTATTTGAAAAAAGCAGCAGGTAACCCCCCTTTTTTTTTTTTTTAAGATTTTATTTATTTATTCATGAGAGACACGGAGAGAGAGGCAGAGACACAGGCAGAGGGAGAAGCAGTCTCCATGCAGGGAAGCCAATGCAGGACTCCATCTCAGGACCCCAGAATCACAACCTGAGCCAAAGGCAGATGCTCAACCACTGAACCAGCCAGATGCCCCCGCAAAAAAAAATTGTTTTAAATATATTTAAAAGAGATAAAATCTGTAGATTGTGAGATGCTCAGATGTGATCCAGAGGATTAATCAAAATTGATACTGATGTCTTGAAATCTGGATAACTGGCAGGATGGCAAGAGGAAGCAATATTGAACAGATTTGAAAAGAAAATGAGTTTAGTTTTGTGTTTTCACTTAGTTGAAATTTAAAAGAGGGGTAAAGATTGAAGTTAGTGATTTGGGGATAGTCATCTATAAGGGATTTTTAAAAAATACAGGTTAAGGGATTATTGACATTAACGTACTACCATGGGAGAGAGGATAGAGAAGTCATTTTTAAGTTCCATAAACCTTTTCTAAAATTGAAAAAATTTCATTATGTGTATTTTCTGAGCACAATGTGGGGAGACTGGTGTGGGGAGCAGTCCATAGTTTTACATTTTCAAAAAAGAGTACTGTGAGCCAGAAATGGATAAGAACCACTGATACTGGGATGCCTGGGTGGCTCAGCGGCTCAGGGCATGATCCTGGGGTCTGGGATTGAGTCTCACATCAGGCTCCCTGCAGGGAGCCTACTTCTCCCTCTGCCTGTGTCTCTGCCTCTCTCTGTGTTCTCTCATGAATAAATAAATAAAATCTTTAAAAAAAAAAAAAAACACTGATATTGAAAGGGTAGCTAAAGATAGAACCTTGAAGCAGGAAGGTCAGAGGAGAACTAGGAGGGGTATTTTAGGGCACCTGGCTGGCTCAGTCAGATGAACATACAACTCTTGATCTCAGGTTCCTGAGTTTGAGCCCCACATTGAGTATAGAGATTACTTAAATAATTTTTTTTTTAAAAGGAAAGGGAGGGGGCAGCCCAGGTGGCTCAGCGGTTTAGCGCTGCCTTCAGCCCAGGGCCTGATCCTGGAGACCCGGGATCCAGTCCCACGTCGGGCTCCCTGCATGGAGTCTGTTTCTCCCTCTGCCTGTGTCTCTGCCTCTCTCTTTCTCTCTCTCTCTTTCTTTCTCTCTCTCTCTCTCTCTCTCTCTCTCCCCCCCCCCCCGCCTGTGTCTCTGCCTCTCTCTCTCTCTCATTAATAAATAAATAAAACCTCTTTAAAAAATAAAATAAATAAAAAATAAAGGAAAGGGAATATTTTGAGAGGGGTTGGTTTGAAGAGAAAGATGGTGATACTGTGGTAATGTATGTAGAATTTAAGGTATGTGATTTTAGATTCTTATTTCTCATTTACTGATACCTTTCAGCCAAAGACTATCAGGGACTTAATATAGTAGATACAGTTACTTATTGGAGTTACAGAGAACCTGTACCTAAGGGAACCACAAGACCTCTCAGAAAGAAGGTGTATAGAAAGGACTTAACTGAGGGCGATTTGGGGGAATGCTTAAGGAAATGGGACTTTCACAGGAAAATTTCCTGTAAAATTATTTTTACCAAGATATCAAGGCCTAGCTGATAGTACCAGGCTAATTCCTAGTTGTCAAGGCTGCTTTCTTTTTTCTCACCACTTCCCAAAGTAATGGTCAGAGGAATACTACTGACTTCACAGATAGATTTGGTGGATTATAATTTTTTTTAATTTTTATTTATTTATGATAGTCACACAGAGAGAGAGAGAGAGAGAGAGAGAGGCAGAGATATAGGCAGAGGGAGAAGCAGGCTCCATGCACCGGGAGCCCGACGTGGGATTCGATCCCGGGTCTCCAGGATTGCGCCCTGGGCCAAAGGCAGGTGCTAAACCGCTGCGCCACCCTGGGATCCCGATTTGGTGGATTATAATGAAGCAAAAAGCTGGCACCAGCCTGGCCCGGTTGGTAGAGCATGTGACTCTTGATCTCAGGGTTGTAAGTTTGAGCCTCACATTGGGTATAGAGATTACTTAAAACTGAAGTTAAAACAAAATTGAAGCAAACAAAATGAGTTTGGGTTGTGATTTGCTGTTAGATGGGAGGAAAAACTTTTGAGGAGCCTAATTTGGGTGTGGGGGAAGAATGGTAGACATGAGGGTTAAGAAAATAACTGTAATGTTGTCCCTAAGTTTATTTACATATGCAGATTCCTGAAATGATAAAAGCAGAATATGAAATCTAGTTTGAGATAGAGGGAAACAAAATACGGTTAAATGTGGGAGTTTTGCTCTGA